AAGTTAGTTGAAACACAGGGCAGCCAAAGCTAGGCGCAAGACTGTGCAACATGGCAGCAAGAAGTACATGATATTTCAACAGCTCAAGTTCTGAAGAGGCTTATTGAACGGCTGAAGCATTAATTTAGCAATGCATTGAGCAGAACATAATGGTGATTGCAGATCAGACGATTGAGCACGAGCAGGTGAGAATTGTGGACTGCTCGTCCGTACACGCTATAGCTCAAGTAACAAGATACATATTCAGACCACCAGCGGGAAAGACCAGGAAACCAGTCCAAACGCAAAACAACGGACGGGGATAACACACATGGGTTGATCAGGAACTTGTGACAAACACAAAACACAACACAATAGTCGGGGCGCGTGCACATGGGCTGGCCTGGGAGGCATGAGAGTAGGATCGATGCAAGCTAACGTGGAACTGCACTAGGACTGCACAAGCGTAGGATCAATGTGTTTGCTGACGAGGGGACTGTGCGCTCAATATGACTGCGTACTCCGGCTAACTGTTACCGAAATGATGAGAAATACCTAAGGCAGGATGTCACCGGTGACCCGCTGCGGGAATCATGACATCAGTAGTGGAGCAAGTGTGTAATAGTACTGGTCGTGCCGGGCTAGGCTAGTAATTTGGGTATGTTGGTTGTCCATGGTAACAGTGCCGCTGACTATGGCTACTCACCATGACCAGGGACTATGCTGGCAGGCCGAGGGGAATGTCGGCTGTGGGGGTCGCGTGCAAAAACGGTAGCTCCTGTTCGTCCTCCGGGTCGTTGGTGGCCTTGCTGATAGTCCACATTAGCTTAAGATTGGTGGACTTGATCCTCCAGTTCATGCTCTGTCTGTCCTGCTGTAGTGAGAAGGACTGCTCAAAGGTACCTCCTTCAGAGCAGTACGTCGGCGGGTCGGATACCTGCGAGAACTTACCTGCAACCGACACGCTGATCAAATCTCGCACTGTCTGCAGGCCCTTGATGCCCTGCCTGCTGAAGTTGGCCTCGAAAATGAAGCCACTGGAAACCAGACCCGCGAATTTCGTGCTGATTTGCACAGCGCCTGACACGCGGGTCTCCATTCCGTCGGGCAGCTCGAAGATCTGAAGTTTGGCGTCTGGCCAGAAGTGATGAGGTCCCCACTGTCCCTGGAAATCCGGCAGTTTCATGTCCTCGCCGGCATACGCTGGCATGGTCAGGGGCATCCCCGCAGTCTTCAGCAGGCCATAGAACCACGGTGCAAACGACTCTGCCAGCAGCTGCCCGTCGTCGTCCTTGCAAACTGCCATTCCCTCCGGCGTGATGCCCACTTGAAGCGGCCGTAGCGTACCCACGGCATCCTCGAACGTGGGCGACTCTGTGCGGGGCAGGTCCACGTAGCCACCGCCGTGAGTCATGAACTCATCTACAATCGTACTGCCCTCGCCCATGGCACCTGTAGTCAACACAGCACAGCAACCGATCCATACACACACACACAGCAGACCTGTCGCTAGTGAAGTCATCCAGAGACACTTCAAAATGTTCCTGTACCGTTTGATCTGCATTTCCAGTTGCCGAGCAGCCGAGGGCCCGGCCCGTAAGTGGTTAAGCATGGCAACCAGCTGCTTTCTGTTCTGCGGGTCAGACTAGTGCCTGTGTGCTCACAATGTCACAACCAGTGTGCATGTACAGTGCCAAATTATTCAATGAAATCTGACCAAGTGAACCCATGCCACGCCGGGCGTTGTGTATACAGAAGTACAATCGTGATAAAACATGTAATACTAACCGCCCAAACCAGCTCCACCCCGACCGTCATCGCCCTATAGTGAACAAAAAGGTGTACACACACACACACACGCACATACACGTCAGCTTACCCCCCAACGCCCTGCAGTGACCGGAGTGAGTGCCCCAGGGGTCCGCTATTAACTGTCTGCAAGCGTGGCTGCAACAATTGTGGGGCATTCAACACTGCAAATTCTAACAAATTCACTAATGAGACCTGTATTGCCGAAGCAGCGGTATAGAGGATACCACATTTGCCATCCAGGCTGCATTCCTATTTTGACTACTAGTATGCAACGGTTATACACTTCGAATGGGCGTCCTTAGCACGTGCATGGAGTTATTCTTGCTTTCTTGGTCTCCACTTTCTTTCTCGCCATGAGCCAGTGGGGCTAGAGAAGCTAGTTTGCTCAAACTCCCGGTTCCCCTCCCAGAAATGCACTTGTCCCCAAGACTGATAGAGACAGATAGATAAATAGATAGATGCCTGGGTAGATGAATGGATAGAAGCGGGGACGGTCATGGCATTGACAGTTTGAAAGATGCCATCACCAAATTATCCACTAACTTACTACTGTTACTGGTGTAGGCCGGTCACACACAGCCGGGCAACAGATCATGCCGCCGCAGCCGCAGTAGCTGCCTACAGAGCGTGCAATGTAAGGCCCGCTGTGTTGCCGCATCACCGTCGCCAGGCTACAACTATAAACGCATTACAGATCTGCACTACATTTCTACAGCAGGCCCGTGTTTCTAGAACATAGCTGTAATAACCCCGGGGTGATCCCAGTCACCTCAACACTGACAGATTGCATTCTTGAGTGATGCTCATAGCTATGCTGTTGGCTCAGGCTACGTTCTTCGAATCCAGCTCCAATATATACGGTAGTGCACTTTAAGTCACATGGCTTCCGATTACTAGTACTTCAAAAAAGGAAGAAGTAGAATTGTTCTCAACGCCTGCGTTGTCCTCTTTATCAGCACGATGCAAGTGTTTGACTTACTGCGGGGTGAGACGTTCCGTTCTTCTCCCAGAAATCCAGCACCCGCTTTACTAATGTACTCTTGTCTTCCGTGTGACTGGCTTGTTGGTTCTTCTCGCCTAGATACATGACGATGTGCTCCCGCTTCACTTTCTTTCGCCTCAGCAGCTGCTTGGCACTCTCACTGTAGAGAAGAATGGCTTCCACTCCGCCTAATCGGTGCAGCATTCAACACACACAAGCACGCACGCACACACAGCGCACAATGGCATGTGCACACGTACATCAGGGGCGGATCCAGGAGGGGTTCCAGGGGTTCCGCGGAACCCCCTAAATTTCGTAAATGTACTACTGGCAACCATATGCGATTATGCGTGTCAGTGTACATGTATCAGCTAGTAATCAGTTTTGACAATACTGGACCCCCCCCCCCCCCCTGTAGAGATCGCTGCATCCGCCGCTGTACATTGCACATCAGAAACAACATCATGGTGCGTTCAGCTTGTAATCATAACTGTTACGTATACATGGTGCATGAGCTGATGATGTCGGCCTCCACTGGCATGCATGCCTCCACTGGCATGCATGCCTCCACTGGCATGCATGCCTCCACTGGCATGCATGTCTCCACTGGCATGCATGTCTCCACTGGCATGCATGTCTCCACTGGCATGCATGTCTCCACTGGCATGCATGTCTCCACTGGCATGCATGTCTCCACTGGCATGCATGTCTCCACTGGCATGCATGTCTCCACTGGCATGCATGTCTCCACTGGCATGCATGTCTCCACTGGCATGCATGTCTCCACTGGCATGCATGGCTCATTGGGACCTATAGGCTTTACAACACTCTGTCGGTACAACTCAGTGTAGTATCCACTACTGTGTCGTATGGAGGACGGAAGGGAGAGGGGGACAAGCTAATGGACACGCCGCAGATAGTACCCATGAAGCGATAACATTTACAAAGAGTACACACGTGGCAATGTTTCTAGTTTACCGTTAACACTAGATGTCGACTTGAGTCTGTTGTGATAAAATTGGCAACTTTGTTGCTCTGCACAATACAAACACTAAATTTCGTCTCGGATGGAGAGCCAAGGATTGATTTATAGTAAAGAAAAGGACCAAGGAACTTCAAGTTACGCTATAATGTCCCGCCTATGTTATTATACCGTAGAATCCCGCGGATAAGCCCACCCGCGTATAAGCCCATGCTCGTGCATGAGCCCAGGCCAAGTTCGAACATCGCGACGCTTCGTTGTACAAGGCCATGGGCATAGGTCGTGTCATGTACGTAGTATATGTATTTTTGTTGTTGTTGTACATTTCAACACAATCATCGGTTGTTTTTGTTTGCACAGTGGTTTTCAGCAATGTACGGTACTTTCCATGTGTCTCACTTCCTTGGCACTTTTCAATAGCACAAGTTTGGTGTCGGCGTGTAAGCCCGTGTCCGCGTATAAGCCCACCGAAATGTCCTTGTGAAACAGGTACGCCCGGGAGCTTATCCGCGGGATTCTACGGTAACATAGAACCATCCAAGTTGGAAGGCTGTTGGAGTGCGCATCCAAGACGTGCTAGAGCTGATAGCCAGCTACTGTAGCGGACATGGAAATCCAGTCGATTGACCGGGGCCGGCGCCCTCAGCGCGTACAGAACGCTGTGTGCAGTGCACATGTTGATCCGATGCGACCAGCGCGCTGCAGCGCATGAATGCATGTGTGTACCGCTTACCCACGGCTGCATGGCCAGCGCCCTGAGGCCGCTAGACGTGCGACCGGATTTCCATGTCCACAACAGTAGTTGTAGAACGTCAGTACCGTTGATCAGTGTTAAGTAACTGGTGGTATTAGTATTAGTAACTGGTGGTATTAGTAACTGGTGGTATTAGTGGACAATAACTTAGCTTGTGGTCCTTTGGTCCTATTCTGTATTATAATTTTTCGTTTCACAATTTTTGTTCAAATCAATAGTATGAATATCGAAGCCAAGAAATCTCGGAAGTTATGCAGACCCATCAAAAAAGGGCATCATGATAGTCCGTACTATCGGAGGTGCAAAGCACATGTTTCAATGAAAGAAGTTCCCATTGTGAATCGGTGGTAAAGTTAGTTCGCTAGCACTCTCTCCCAAGTTCTCCCCCATTTTAAAACCACAGCTGCTGTGACCCGCTCATGTAACACTCGATTGTTTGTCTTGATAAGCGGTTTCTCCCCAGTCAGGCTGCATGTAGCGCAGGTCAACCGATCAACATGCAGGACATGTGCGTGCGACAGAAGTCAAACAACCAACGCACACAGTGATCTTGTTCAGTGAATCACACGTGTAAAACATCGCCTACTTTCTCGTGTCTCCGCAGTCACCATCCGAGATGACACGGTTTCCGTGAGCGCCTCGATGTCCTCTGTCGGCAGCTTGTCCAGAAGTAACCTGGCTTCTCTTTTCTCCTCTTCAGTCAACATATTGATCATTGCTTGCCAGCTACGCACGTTAGCTTGGTACTCCTCGAAGGCGAATGCCGCCCACCCGCTCCGGCCAGTGATCCCTCGCGTTCTTGTGCAGACTATTCAAGGCTTTTTACTACTGCAGAAGGGAGGAAGCGTTTCTTTGAACCAGTTTTACCTACGCGTGTCTCACTGCCACATAATCATTACCAGTCAGAGAGAACGAACCCACACCAAAGTTGGCCACGCATAATCAATCCGTTCTGCAAGTCAAACACGCTGACAATGAATGACTATGAGTATGAGTTGAGTATGGCCCTGACTACTGTTGATGAGTGTTGTCATTCGAGATCGCTGAAGTCGTGAAGAAAATGAGTGCATGCCATGATTCTACATGTATGTTGGTAACTGTTCGACTCAAAAGCGTACACGATCTGCTACCGAGTCTCGACTGAGTCTGTAGTCGATCTACATGACATTGTAGGCCTACCTGGAAAAGGTGCGAAATAAAACCATGGCCATTGAATAATTGTACATGTGACGAAACAGAACGCGCCGCACTTGATGATACGTCGCACGACGCGACCCTATCGCGCAGTATCGGCCCCATGCCATGGCCCACGCGCCAGTCCAGTCCTCAGACTCCTCACATAGAGACTGTCTATAGTACGGTGCTGAGTCTCGTCGACGTAGCAAGGTCAAGACCAATGCCAGGAAAGAGAGCTTCAGCCTAGCTTCACATGGTTCAGGGGAGGAGATAACACTGGCCTGCGAGGCTGCGACTGGGCTCCTTATGTCAAGACCTGGCTAATGAGCACGAGTGCGGAGTTCGAGTGGGCTGCCTTTTGCAGCGTATAATAAGTAGGCGCTAGCCGCTACAATGTAGGCTAGCATTTCGCCTAGGCCAGGGGGCATAGACCGGTCGGCCTTGGGCCGGCTTGATCACATCCCTGATTTGATCAGACAGAGACCCGGCCTGAGCTATGAACAGCCAACCCCCTTCCAGATTTCCGCTTATCAACGCCTCACTGACTGTGTCACATCGATCGTATGCGGAAATTACTTTCCTTCCAAATTCCTCCCAATGTGCCGAGCCCATTCAAGAGAGAGAGAGAGAGAGAGAAGAGAGAGAGAGAGAGAGAGAGAGAGAGAGAGAGAGAGAGACAGAGAGAGAGAGAGAGAGAGACTAGACCGTCTGCTCGTGCATTTTCTGTCTCTTCATATCCAACATAGTTATGTTGTAGCAAGCTCTTGGTAATGGTTGTACTGGTAGGTAGTGTGCTTTCGTGATCCCAGGTACTACTGTTCCAAGCGTGCTCAGAGACTATCTAGATCTGTAAGGGAGTACAATACTACTCAATCCCCCCCCCCCCGATGATACACTTCACCCTTCTGCTATCAGCGACTGATCGAGATCTCCCCCCCCCCCCCCCCCCCCCACACACACACACACACCCACGGCCTCGTTGTACACATGCGGGTCTTCACAGGCTTCTCTAACAACAGCTCTTCTGCATCTATCTGGACATGGAAGTAGCGGTGGACGTGTGATAACAGGCTCTCCCCCCAGGTCGAACTATCCAGAGCCATGATTCTACCCTCTTTGTGTTGCAGGATACTTCTTTTGCAACACTTTGTAGGTGCATGGCTAAATACTTCCGTCGCTGCATGTGTGGAGGCAAGAAGGGGTGAGACAGAGCTGGGTTCGAACCAGGGAGTAGGACAATACATGTACCAGCATTGTATTTACTCCCTGGCTCGAATCACACCCGTAGATCCTCACTGTGCAACACATGGGAAAAAGACAGTCGGCCGGGTAAAACAATGAATCAGTGAAGGTTAGCCTACATATACATGTTGTTGCTATAAAAGGTGTTTTGGTCGTAACGCTGACAGGTTACGGAAAACACCCCCCGCAGGCCCTGGCACACGTTGACTCCGGGAAAAGAAGTCAAGGAATGAGAGGACGGCCCGTATGCCATAGATAAGGTGGAGATACGCCGCTGCATTTTCTTGCGACAAGAAGCATATCATGACACGCCATTGGCTTCTAAAAAGGATAAAGAGTCGGATGATCGGTCCAAGTAACGTTGCAGTGCTACGGGCTAACAAGGAGGAAAATTGATAAAACAAGGCGGAACAGTCACATGGCTAACATGCCTCCAGTCTACCTACAGAGATACAAACTAAATAAGGAAAAGAGCTTTTTAAAAAGAACGTATGTGTTAAATTTGAACTCAGATGTGTTAAAGCATTTTCCTGCACAGCATACATTTGATATTGGTGGGAAACCTGTGATGCAAACTGTTCAAAATGAAGATATTGTCCATCCATGCCCCTCTGTTATAATATACTGCAGTAGATTCACTCCATGCAAAAAACACTAGTGTTGGCAGTGGGTCTGCTTGGTACATGCCGCACGCACGCACGCACACACACACACATGGGTAGGAATATAGAGCTGAGACTGACATCACACCGACAGGTTAGTTCAGGGGTGACGTAACACGTTAAAAAAAGAGAGGGTAGAACACAAGGCTGGATGTACGCTTGAAAAGGCACCCGCACTGTGCTCTGTGCTATGGCTGATGTACAGACGGAAGCACTCCTGGTGCCCGGCACTGTGACATAGCCGACTAACTTCACTCTGGATATTGGATACCTGCGTGGCCACCAGTGTGATGCCTTGCCTTGGTGTTTGTCTGTTTGACACTGAAAGCATGATGCCAATGTGCGGCCATCATCATGGAACAGCCAGCGTCCGATGCCACACGGCGGATATGATTCAATTTCTCCAGACTGCCAGGAGAAAGGGAGTGCAGAGTGGCTTTCTGATGTTCAGAACTTTGCACAAATACACATGTTACCAGGCAAGTGACCCTGGCAAGCTCCTTCTCAAAGTTCTAATATCACCTACGCCGTGTCCTTGCTGGCCGGCCAGAAGACTGAGAAGATGAGGTCGCAAATAGCGCCGGCGACTGCGACGATGCACCACTATTTGACGTCGCTGCTGATGCTGCTGCACTCCGCCTGCCATGAGAAGTCGGTCCTGGTACTGGTGTGGCAACTCCGTTGTGACCTCCATTTTGCACTGCACAGCACCATCCACCAGACATATGCATGCACGCACGCACGTGCACACACACACACGTGCACACCGCGGCGCACACACATACTTTGTCACACCGGTTGACAGCACAGCTGTGCTACACACCTCGCACAAATTGGAGGCACTGTGGCATGGTGACGGGCAGGTGTAGTTTCAAAACGGCACATGCCGAACACATGCTGAACATATCCTACAGTATGCACAATGAGTTTGCTATTCTACCGTTTGAAACTGGCTGCTGTGTAGCTAGCTGAGAGCATACATGACGTGGCAAGGCCACTTTGGAGAAGTTAATGTATGTACGGACGGCTCTAGTTAAGGTACCATGTACCGTAAAGTACCGTTGATCCGCCCCCACGCCATGTCGCTTCCCAGCTGGGTTTTCGGCAGGGGGCGGGAATTAGATCAAGGCTGTCAAGTGCAGTACGATGTACAACAACGTAGAGGATCAGTCTCAATGTGCTGGATTGTGCACATTTTGATCCTGGATTGGCAAGTATTGTGTACAGCAGTGTATGCGTCGGTTCAACATCGTATTTCGTTGTATACGCCGAAGTCGCTTCACAAGGAGAAAATCGACAGGGGGCGGGAATTAGAGAGGGGGCGGATCAACGGTACTTTACGGTACATGCGTAGTAATAGCTGTTGTCAGCATCTGTGTAGGGCAGTAATATGACCTGGATCCATAGTGGTAGTATTGGTTACGCTACATGCACCGTGGATTGCCTCGTCTGGACTCCCTCGTCTGGACTCCTTTTGTTTGGACTCTATGGGAAAGATGTGGAGCCAGGACTATTGAACTCAGCACCCCATGTTCAATGACCAAGCTAGGCTGGTCCCATCATGGGTGGTCATTCAAACCAGACTTGTAGATAAACACCCTAGTACATATAAACACACACATGCCCCCCTCCCACCGTGACACCCACCCACACACCAGGCCAACATACCTGCAGGATGGTGTGCATCATGTGGAATGTCGGGGATGATGTGTGCCCACGGCGTCTGACAGGATGGACACTGCGGCTCGCTGTGGTGCAATCAGACGAGAGCCAAGACAAATGCAACTTCTTATCACTATAATGGTATCCTCCTGCCCCACCAACAGCAGGAAACCTTGGACATCAAATAAAAGCCCAGCCACAATGTACAAGTTGAGAATGCATGAATAATTCAGACACGTGTAGGTATGGTCCTGTTGCAGCATACTGTAAGACATGTATATATAATGAGGAAGCAAATCTAACGTTTTAACGGATGACATTTCTTCGTTATAATAAGATCCGTTGAGGCCGTACTGCTTCATATATGCTGTGTGTGGATATGGCAGAATACTGCAAGATCGTTAACATATCTTCTCGTTAACCTATGAATTTTGGACAATCGTTAAATTTGCGACTCGTTATAATAACATGTCTTACAGCAGTAGAAAGTACTGTATGTGTATGTGTGGTCCTGTTGTAGCATACCGTATTATCTCTAATATAAGCACAGTCTCCAATAATAGAACACCTTGAGGCGGCATTCAAAAAATAAAGTGCTCAGTCTCCATTATAAGCACACGGTGTAAATTCATTATCTGTACCGGCGAAAAAACCCAGAAATGTGTGTGTCTGACATATAAATTTGGCATGGCAACATGCCTCTGAAATGAGGTTGAAATAATAATGGAACAGTCTCCAATAAAGGAACGTCTCCATTAATAGCACGGGGCGGAGGTACATTGAAAAAATAAAGGACCGTGCTTATATTAGAGATAATACAGTAGTAGAAAGTACTGTATGTGCATGTGTGGTCCTGTTGTAGCATAGTAGAAAGTACTGTATGTGCATGTGTGGTCCCGTTGTAGCATAGTAGAAAGTACTGTATGTGCATGTGTGGTCCTGTTGTAGGATAGTAGAAAGTACTGTATGTACGTATGTGTCTTACCGGCCACTCATGAATCGCGCAGCACAATGTACGTGCAGCTTGGTCTCACAGCTAGTGCAACGCTGTCCCTGTGAAACCATACCAAGACACAGCAATGGAGTCAGAAGCAGCAGGTCAGGTGACGTGATGGAATGAGTGGGTACCAATGATCACCCAATCATGAACAGGTCACATGCCAAGCTATCACCTGCCGTACAGCCAACAAAACAAAGTAGTGCACAGTCCGCTTTCCACAAGTAGGGACACTCTCCATTCATAGACCTCTATGAGCTACGGAGTCTTTTAAAAGCGACTAGAACCGCTGTTTTCAGCCAGAGACGACATCTGGTAGAGGTTAGTCATACAATATACTAGTCATCATAACTTTCACAAGTCTTGGATAGAGTGGCCAAAGGAGCTTCATCTGCACCTTGATCCTTGAGGACGGTGGTGCTCCTGTGGAAGAGGAAAAGTCTGTCTGACTGACTTTGACGAAAATAATTTTTTATTTTATTTGAAGGCGTCCCCGACTGTGATTCGTGGATGCTTACCTTGACCACTATATTGGAGCACAAATGACAGTCGACGACGGCGTCCCCATATACATCACGCAAGTGAGGCAGCAGCTCAATCATTGTACGTGCACCCAGAAATAAGTAGCCTTCGTCCTGGCATGTAGCAGCACACATTACGAACAGAACAATAGGCAGCGAGCATTTCTTTGAATTCTTTCACACACTGATATCCCATTGCGCTTGCCTTTGTTACATGTACATGCGAGTAAGTTACATTTATAAAGACGGGTAAGTCTAACAAATGAGGACTGAGACCTCTACAACAGAGTTGTTATGCCTGAAAGCAGGTGCATGATTTAAGCAGCAGGTTGAGAGAGAGGGAAATAGAGAAAAAAGAGAGAGAAAGAGATAGAGAAATAGAGAAAAAAGAGAGTAAGAGATAGAGAGGAGGGGGGGGGGGGGGGGGGTACTATTAGTTCACCAGCCCCTGCTGGGAAAAGTGAGGTTCAGTGTTTCCTTGGCTAATTTATTTCACATATGACTATACCTTGGGCAAGTACTGGCAGTTACACCGTGATCTGTAAGCGATGGCGGTCACGATGGCGGTCACGATGGCGGTCACGATGGCGGTCACGATGGCGGTCACGATGGCGGTCACGATGGCGGTCACGATGGCGGTCACGATGGCGGTCACGATGGCGGTCACGATGGCGGTCACGATGGCGGTCACGATGGCGGTCACGATGGCGGTCACGATGGCGGTCACGATGGCGGTCACGATGGCGGTCACGATGGCGGTCACGATGGCGGTCACGATGGCGGTCACGATGGCGGTCACGATGGCGGTCACGATGGCGGTCACGATGGCGGTCACGATGGCGGTCACGATGGCGGTCACGATGGCGGTCACGATGGCGGTCACGATGGCGGTCACGATGGCGGTCACGATGGCGGTCACGATGGCGGTCACGATGGCGGTCACGATGGCGGTCACGATGGCGGTCACGATGGCGGTCACGATGGCGGTCACGATGGCGGTCACGATGGCGGTCACGATGGCGGTCACGATGGCGGTCACGATGGCGGTCACGATGGCGGTCACGATGGCGGTCACGATGGCGGTCACGATGGCGGTCACGATGGCGGTCACGATGGCGGTCACGATGGCGGTCACGATGGCGGTCACGATGGCGGTCACGATGGCGGTCACGATGGCGGTCACGATGGCGGTCACGATGGCGGTCACGATGGCGGTCACGATGGCGGTCACGATGGCGGTCACGATGGCGGTCACGATGGCGGTCACGATGGCGGTCACGATGGCGGTCACGATGGCGGTCACGATGGCGGTCACGATGGCGGTCACGATGGCGGTCACGATGGCGGTCACGATGGCGGTCACGATGGCGGTCACGATGGCGGTCACGATGGCGGTCACGATGGCGGTCACGATGGCGGTCACGATGGCGGTCACGATGGCGGTCACGATGGCGGTCACGATGGCGGTCACGATGGCGGTCACGATGGCGGTCACGATGGCGGTCACGATGGCGGTCACGATGGCGGTCACGATGGCGGTCACGATGGCGGTCACGATGGCGGTCACGATGGCGGTCACGATGGCGGTCACGATGGCGGTCACGATGGCGGTCACGATGGCGGTCACGATGGCGGTCACGATGGCGGTCACGATGGCGGTCACGATGGCGGTCACGATGGCGGTCACGATGGCGGTCACGATGGCGGTCACGATGGCGGTCACGATGGCGGTCACGATGGCGGTCACGATGGCGGTCACGATGGCGGTCACGATGGCGGTCACGATGGCGGTCACGATGGCGGTCACGATGGCGGTCACGATGGCGGTCACGATGGCGGTCACGATGGCGGTCACGATGGCGGTCACGATGGCGGTCACGATGGCGGTCACGATGGCGGTCACGATGGCGGTCACGATGGCGGTCACGATGGCGGTCACGATGGCGGTCACGATGGCGGTCACGATGGCGGTCACGATGGCGGTCACGATGGCGGTCACGATGGCGGTCACGATGGCGGTCACGATGGCGGTCACGATGGCGGTCACGATGGCGGTCACGATGGCGGTCACGATGGCGGTCACGATGGCGGTCACGATGGCGGTCACGATGGCGGTCACGATGGCGGTCACGATGGCGGTCACGATGGCGGTCACGATGGCGGTCACGATGGCGGTCACGATGGCGGTCACGATGGCGGTCACGATGGCGGTCACGATGGCGGTCACGATGGCGGTCACGATGGCGGTCACGATGGCGGTCACGATGGCGGTCACGATGGCGGTCACGATGGCGGTCACGATGGCGGTCACGATGGCGGTCACGATGGCGGTCACGATGGCGGTCACGATGGCGGTCACGATGGCGGTCACGATGGCGGTCACGATGGCGGTCACGATGGCGGTCACGATGGCGGTCACGATGGCGGTCACGATGGCGGTCACGATGGCGGTCACGATGGCGGTCACGATGGCGGTCACGATGGCGGTCACGATGGCGGTCACGATGGCGGTCACGATGGCGGTCACGATGGCGGTCACGATGGCGGTCACGATGGCGGTCACGATGGCGGTCACGATGGCGGTCACGATGGCGGTCACGATGGCGGTCACGATGGCGGTCACGATGGCGGTCACGATGGCGGTCACGATGGCGGTCACGATGGCGGTCACGATGGCGGTCACGATGGCGGTCACGATGGCGGTCACGATGGCGGTCACGATGGCGGTCACGATGGCGGTCACGATGGCGGTCACGATGGCGGTCACGATGGCGGTCACGATGGCGGTCACGATGGCGGTCACGATGGCGGTCACGATGGCGGTCACGATGGCGGTCACGATGGCGGTCACGATGGCGGTCACGATGGCGGTCACGATGGCGGTCACGATGGCGGTCACGATGGCGGTCACGATGGCGGTCACGATGGCGGTCACGATGGCGGTCACGATGGCGGTCACGATGGCGGTCACGATGGCGGTCACGATGGCGGTCACGATGGCGGTCACGATGGCGGTCACGATGGCGGTCACGATGGCGGTCACGATGGCGGTCACGATGGCGGTCACGATGGCGGTCACGATGGCGGTCACGATGGCGGTCACGATGGCGGTCACGATGGCGGTCACGATGGCGGTCACGATGGCGGTCACGATGGCGGTCACGATGGCGGTCACGATGGCGGTCACGATGGCGGTCACGATGGCGGTCACGATGGCGGTCACGATGGCGGTCACGATGGCGGTCACGATGGCGGTCACGATGGCGGTCACGATGGCGGTCACGATGGCGGTCACGATGGCGGTCACGATGGCGGTCACGATGGCGGTCACGATGGCGGTCACGATGGCGGTCACGATGGCGGTCACGATGGCGGTCACGATGGCGGTCACGATGGCGGTCACGATGGCGGTCACGATGGCGGTCACGATGGCGGTCACGATGGCGGTCACGATGGCGGTCACGATGGCGGTCACGATGGCGGTCACGATGGCGGTCACGATGGCGGTCACGATGGCGGTCACGATGGCGGTCACGATGGCGGTCACGATGGCGGTCACGATGGCGGTCACGATGGCGGTCACGATGGCGGTCACGATGGCGGTCACGATGGCGGTCACGATGGCGGTCACGATGGCGGTCACGATGGCGGTCACGATGGCGGTCACGATGGCGGTCACAATGGCGGTCACGATGGCGGTCACGATGGCGGTCACGATGGCGGTCACGATGGCGGTCACGATGGCGGTCACAGTGGGATTACTAAAGTTAAAACTACCGGTGGAATAGCCGTGGCCCTGTACTAAAGCCAAGGGCTTTAAAGTGCTACGTCACAGCCCGGAGTCATGACAACGCTGACTTCCGGATCCATTTGGATCCTGTTTTTTCATGGATGCACACACGTTTGGGCACAGCAGGGTGACAAAACCACCAGTAGTACTAGTAATAGGCCTGGGGCCTCCCGGTGGGGGGACTACAAAAATCACAACAGTGCATACGACACGAGGGGACTACCCACCCCATACTGCACTACGGGCAGCGTGATACCAGAAGTTGTTATTTGTCGACTTCTGACTCCATCACTTTCCAGTTCTACAGTGATTCTACAGTGCACATACTAGTACCTTGTTATTCGATAGCCACTCATCCTGGGCAAGACGCTCCAGTAGAGACTGCATGGGGAAAAAGACAAGAAAAAGCATCATTGGCAAATTGCGGTATACTTTGCCACCGCGTGCGAGTCCAATTATGCAACATGTTGTCACCAACGCATTGCTCAGGATCAGGAGGCAAACAACAGGAAAGTGCACCTAGCAATCTCCACAGCCCTAGCAAGCCACCTGCACGTAATTTCGCTCGGTCATATCCAGACTACGGCGAAAACTCTGGCATGCTGGGCGAATATTAGGAGTCAAAGGGGTGTACCGGGTACCCAACCGTTAATCTCAGGTACCGTTAGTAAAAGGGTACCCGTTTGGATTTTGATGAACCAGTCAGTACGGAGCAACACTGCTGGGATCGTGTATTCCAGGCGGGAGTCAATTATTTACAACTCCACGCTGGATGTCTGCATTGTTGTTGCATTTTCGCACCTAGTAGATCTACTCCTGCAACTATCAGACACCAATCGAATTGCGAATCATAATGTGATATCAAAATGCAACCCGAGCACAGATGAATTAAAATCTTGATTTATGTGAAAATTACGCAAAAAATTAAACATGGCTGCTAAAGGGTATCCGTTAACCCGCCCGTTAAGAAAATTACCCGTTCGTTAGTTAAAGGTACACCCGTTTGACCCCTAGCGAATATGCTCCCACCGTGTGTGTGGGCGGTAAGACGACCCTGGCATGCTGGGCGAATGTGTTCCCATTGTATATGTGTGGTCGGTAAGCTGCAACGCTCTACCATCGGTTTAGCGCATGCGTATACCGCAAGACATTCTGATACATTACCTAGTACATGTACATCATTATAATTATTATTACTTGTATGCCGCACTAATACTAGAGCGAAACTGTGTGTAAAAGAATGAAAAAAAAATGAAAAATAGGGATTCATTGGCCAGAAAAAGCCACTTCAACCAGCCGGCCGTGCGGTGTAAACCAGGCTAAAATAAGTGGCGGTCAATTCATCAGCCTTGCAAGCTGTTGAATGGTGTAATCCCTGCACAAGTTGCTAAGTCTACTACAGTAGCACAGCTGTTCGTTATCGTCGCGTCAGCGATGGGCAGGGAGTATGAATACGAGAGCGAAAACTTGTGTACGGTACTGTACCGCTAGTCTAACGAGATTCTCTCTATATTTGAATTCGTACTTACATCTCTGTCTGTCTGTCACTTTCATTACAATTCAATAGGCGAATCTTGACATCTCTCTAAATTTTGTTTGGCTACTCTGTTCTGCTGCTGCTAATAGGTTAGATTCCCCGCCTTATCCACCTTCTCAACTACGCGCAGCTGTATAAAACTGCTTGTGTGATCTATGATTGACACAACTAACTGTCCTCGCTGATATCCCTTGAAGAGCAATATCAAGATTACTTCTCTCCTAAAAGCCTGCCACGGAGAGCACGTGTGGCTGAATGGATACTTGGATGAACATTATTGGCTAATGGCCTAATCGAGCTATCATGGTATGACAATTGTATGTTGTTGATGCTGTGGAATCAGTATTGCATATCACACACACACACACACACACACACACACACACACACACACACACACACACACACACACACACACACACACACTGTACTGTACTTGTTGCTCACTGCCAAAACTGGTCACGTGAGCAACTGCTTCTTACCGTGGCCTCAGAGACCCCTACGTGTGGCTGCAGCTCAGCACCGGCATTGACAAGCTCCACGGAAGAGCATACGCCATCGTCCGCTGCAATGATCAGATCCATCTGAACGCGCGCGCGCGCACACATACACGTACACACATACACACGTTATTACCAGTAGTGCACCCGCACACCATGTAGCCAGCGGCTTGTCGCTGACAAAGAAGTGGTTTTACACGGAAAAGGTCCCACGCTATGCATACCAGTATGGCAGAGCCAAATGGATGCTGTATTTTCGGCGATACGGGCCAAGGCGCTTAGTACATGTAGTTTGCGACACCTAAAACTTCACCCAGTTTGAAAAAAATCTACACAAAAGCCCTGAAATGATGTGGCGCTATATTTCAGACAGGCGCTAATTTCTGAAAATACGGTACTTTGCCTACACTCCATCTAAGCGCATATACACGTAATATATGTAGCCATTGTCATAATGGAAAAGCTCCATGAGAATACTGCCACAATGAATCCTGTGACGAGCATTTTCTAGACGCAAGTAGCTGCCATGGTGCAAGGATACAACATTTATACATGGAACAATTTGGTGGATTGCATGGGCATCAATTTCGTGGCTGGCTTTCCCTCGTAAATGGGTAATGATATAGCGTACTGACACAAAGAAAACCAGCCACACTGCTACATACACACGCCAGTACTGACACAGCCAAGCCATGCTTACTCACCACTTTCTTGAAGTAACCAATCTCTTTGGCATCAAAGTCGGTGGCCAACTTTGCCGCCTCATCTTGGTGCAGGTTGACAAGGGCGAAGAAGATCTTCCCGTGCTCCTCATCCGTGCCTCGGCGAATTTCCAGCGATAGGGGTTGAAGTCTGCTGTTGATGTCCTTCAAGAAGGACGGGAACTGGGCAACACTGGGATCTCCTATGTCAGGCAGTGGTTAGAACACAGCATCAACGATGAGTTACACTTCCCACATTATGTCATTAGTTTATGCATGTAGTGCCACTGCCAAGACCAGCCCCAGTGCGAGTGTGATTGGTGTTGGGGAGCTGACACGACTCGTTTCCAAAAATACACAATTTTCACGTATGGACCTAAAACACGAGGTCGACACATCGACACGCACACATTGTATGTGGGTACAGTCAAGTGCATTGCAGCACGAAATGGCATAACTCTGAAAGAAGTAGTGACGGAGGTTTAAGTGGGGTTCTTGGGATATGCACTCTTGCTAGTAGATTACAATAACAACGTATCCGTGTGGTGAGTGACAGATACCCTGTATTATCTCTAATATAAGCACGGTCCTTTATTTTTTCAATGTACCTCCGCCCCGTGCTATTAATGGAGACGTTCCTTTATTGGAGACTGTTCCATTATTATTTCAACCTCATTTCAGAGGTTGGTGCACCGCGCGCGATCGCGCGACTGACCATGATAACTTGTACATGTACATGCAATGTGCGTACATTATACTACCGTACGGTGTCCTTTATTGGAGGCCCGTGTGGTTTTCAGAGGACTTCACAGTGAGCACTTCACAGTGTGCTTATAATGGAGACTGAGCACTTAATTTTTGAATGCCGCCCCAAGGTGTTCTATTAGTGGAGACGTGCTATTATTGGAGACTGTGCTTATATTAGAGATAATACGGTACGTGTATTCCTTTTTCGGCCTGACACATTTTGATTTCTGAAGGTCTCACATTCGCTCCCAATCAGAACGGATACAACCCGGCCATATCAGTATACAATGGGTGCGTTCGATTACACATTCTGGACCCAGGTTTTATAATTCTCGAATGATCAGAATGAACGGATAGCGGCCATGTAAACGAACGCCTTCACGTAAAAATCATGGGATCCCGTACACCCTCGCGCGCACGTGGACCTAGCATGGCGCGTACGTCGGGTGCGTAAATCCTGGCGAGAAATAGAAATTCCGCTCTCTTCAGAATTCCATCGATTCTGGTGACGAAATTTGTGTAGTCGAACGGTGCATGCACTGTAACGAATTCTAGAATGGACGGAATTGTGTGTAATCGAACGCGCCCAATGTAGCTTGTAATACGAGATCATATTCTTGGAGGCATAAATTGAAGTGTTGATTGGAACGCGCATGAAGCTTGGTGTTATTCAATAGTCTCATTTCAGAGACTAGCAAGGACTTTAGTAGACATGAATGCGCCGTATGTATATGGTATGCAGGCTGATATCGTTAATAACTTATGCTTCTATGAACTCAAAATGACATAAACAACTAGCTACTGTAGTCTTACGCTTATATCATTCTCCAAGAACTCAAAATGACAATCAAATGGTCTATGCTTGGCGGTCAGGTTGAGTTTTTCGAGCTCCGTAGTTTTCTTAGATTTCCAGTAGCCCAGCCGGCATCAGGCCGGTCTGGAGCATAGTAGAGGGTAGTAGTAGTAGCTGGTAGGCATGGACTCTGACATGTCAGAGGCCCAGGGGACCCCAGGACTTAGCTTTGCTGGGATTCGACGACCTGCGGAAACTGGCTACAAAACACAGCATAGAGGACGTGAGTAAGCTGTCCCATGCTGAGCTGGTGGAGAGCCTCAGGACATTTGGTGTGGATGCACAAGCCGGAACGTACGTATCCAGGCTAGAGAATGCAATATCATCTTTGACGACCAGTATTGAAAACCTCAGCAATGAAATAGTAGCACTGAAGGTTGGCCAAAAAGCCGAAATTTCGGCCTCCACGCCGAAATCGAAGTTCTGAAGAGAGAAATTGGCAGTTCGGAATTCAAAAAAGGTTGCACCCGCACCGGACGTACCCGTACTTAACGTACCCGTAGCGGAAGTCTCTCCTGAGCTGGATGCAGCAGCACAGGCATGGAATACGCACTCTGGAGTCAACACGTACTCGTACAGTGCAAAAGTAGTATCTGCACGTCCCAAAGCTCACTTTCCATCGCATTCTCCCATTACACAGTCAGCTACCTCAAACACGGGGACACATACTGATCAAGCCCTCCGGACAAACGTCATTTCATACTACCAGAGCCCACCCCGCAACAGCAGCAACTACGCAGTGCCCATCGTACCAATGCAAAGCTGTTCATGTTGGAAGAATTCATCCTGGTTGCTCAGCTTCCTCAATCGCAAAATGGTGCGAAGACAAGCAAGTGATTGTACTGAAATGCTCCGTTTCAGAGACAAAGTATGTTGGCCTAGCGTACGCGCACTTAGTCGTCACAGAAGATGACTGGAAGCTGTGGAAAGAACTGACTTTTGGCCTGACGGAGTGACAGCTCGAGAATGGCGATTCAAGGCTGACAGAATAAGTACAGCTGACAACACAAAAAAAACCCAATGACCACTCAGACATTGAATCCTAATGCTCAGTCATTCTGCTGCCGTTCTTCCGGGACTACTCTGAACCATAATGCACCCCCGTTCGTCCCAAGCCTCACCAATCACAAAATTGTCAGACGTGATCGTACGTCAGACACAGCGATTCGTGGTGGTTGCGTAGCATTTCTGCTTCACCCTGCTGTTCAATATACACACCGACCTGATCTCCGCCCAAATGACTCCACAGTGGAAATAGACCGTATTCAGCTCGGTCAACCCAATAAGGACACCTTTATCTTCTGCTGCTACCGCCCCCACTATCAGGACATCTCCACATTCCGTGACGGTCTTGAAGCAGTTCTGGCCAAAGTCATCACCCTAGACACGCACATCATCCTAGTTGGCGACTTCAATGCCCGTCACACCGTCGGGACAATAGCTTACTATCTTCGAGCCAGTTTGGCTTTTGGCGCCACCGATCAACTGTTGATCAGATCCGATGCCTCGCTACCACAGCTGGCGAAGCATTTGATGCCAAAGCACTGTGTGATGGGGTGTTTCTCGACCTCTCGAAGGCATTCGATCGGGCCAGCCATGCAGTCATTTTACATGCCCTTTCTGGCTGGTGCAGCGCGTCTGCCCGTGACTGGGTTCAGGACTTTATAGAGAGATAGAGGGATATCTGGTCGTGTCCTGCGTGTTCGTGTCGGCGACACGGTTTCAATGCCTTCTCCCTTATCTGCCGGAGTTCCCCAGGGTTCACATCTTACCACTTGACGCTCGAAAAGAAGTTTGAATTTTCATTCTCCCCACATGTGCAGTGTGATCGCGATTCGAATCCTGGACGCTTTTCTTTTTTCGTCAGGCACCGAAAATCTGCCGCAGTCTGACCAGACCCTTACTCTTGTTTTAGTGTCTTTCCAGTATTCTATTTGCATCTCTGGTTCTAATCTATTGATTTTCTTCCTCTCCTTTGATTTAAATTCTCAGATTATATTCGAGTTTTATTCCTTCTATTTTTCATTATTCTATTGGTTTGGAGAGACTCCCATGATAGGTATCCATTTACCTCTGGAGAATCCATAAATAAACAATACAATACAATACAAAATCTATTCAGAGGTGTACAATCATGTACTTGAATAATCAGGGGAAACTTCGCATCCGCAAAATGCATTTATGTACTCCTTACTATCGTTGAACTGCCGTGAGCTGTCCACAAAGAGCTGTACTGTGTCAGCTTCATTCAGAATACTCCGAGATGTGAACGTCTGCAAAAAGTACCTATGCGAATCGGAGAGTTTGGTGGCAGGCATTGTAGCTCTGATTCGACAGCTGCCTATACTGCTCAAGTACGGCTAAACAAGGAATGGAAACTGCACGAGACGGGAGGAAAGAGCGAACCCTACAGACTTGACTTGTTCTGCAGTCGAATATCAAATCAGGAGGATCTACAAGTAGGAAATGTGTTTGCATGAGAATACAAACCCGTGCATGTCTACACCTTTCCCGCGGTTGATTTTATCTCTTTCCTTTTTTTGCATTTTTGGCGCCGAAATCATGCTTTTTGTGTAAAAGCAACGAAAAAATGTTCCGTTTTTGTGCAAAATGATCTATGATCGACATATGGATATGACGTACTCGTACCGTGACGTGTTTGATCGGGCCGGGGAAAGTGCGAAATTAATAATCAAACGATTTCAATGGTCCATTATTTGCATAAATCTTCCTAAATCATCAGCAATTTTATGGTAGGCTTCAAGGATTGAATTATTATTTGGAGAAGGAGTAGCAGGACATTGCTGGTAGTGAATGAAGATTAAACAAATTCCACAGTCCTATGTGTGAGCGTTAGCCGATCTGGTCGTCGTGTGGAAATTGTGCCCCGACGGGTACTTTTATCATGTCAGATTTCGAACTTCCGAAATGGTATGTCCCACTTGGACAGGACATCTCTGGTGGGTGAAATACCGAGCGTAGATAATAGCAGAATAATTCGTGTTTCTTGCATAGGGCTGGCCAGGCTCCTTCGGGCCTGCATCTGGATGTGTACAAGAATGATCAGCTGATTCGGGTATGTTGGCCTGAGATGATAACATTTCTCAACAATTTTTTTAAATTTACATCTTCAGCCTTTTAGGTATACAAATGAGGACCAGTTAAGTGTATTAAATGGAAGCATATTATCCAAAGGCCAGGGATAGCAGCGATACCCAGTTTCAGTGATAAGGGCACTTCTTCACGCAGCAGTGCACGATGTTTAAATTAAAGCTGTATGTCCACGCTGTAGCCCACGATTACAAGTAGAGACACCTTTGTCTGGAACAGATGCGTATTGATTGACCTGAGGTCTAGATGGCATGTAACTGTGTATACGTGCATGTAATTGTATGCTTCTATATACGTGTGCCACTGCGGTATGTGTGCGCCTGCGCTCATTTGTGTGTGTGTGTGGGGGGGATTAGGTTTCTATAACCCTTTCAGTGCCAGACCACGTACTACATGGTTGGCCAGCACGCGCGCTGGTACTACACGCAATGTTCACATTGGGCACTAAAAATATTGTCACCAGTGATGGATTTTCATCATCTTAGGCTCTCTGAAAAGCTGAGGATCTCCCCTGTCGATCCATGGTGCTCAGTGCTCTGCAGGCACAGGAGAACGGCCTACAAACACATCGAAAGCCGCTCCAATGCGCCTCTGTAGTGCTATTCTACACTCAGAGACAATTTCTTTCGATTTGCAGCTCATACTCAACGCACAGCAACGATTCAAACACCAGCAGAATCAGACTGTTCTAGCGCTCATTTTGGTATTCAGGTAAAACCTGCTCCAAAGACCACCTGGACTCAGCGACCACCTGCTGTGGACGACCGTATTTGTCTGGCACCGTCCGTTTCACGTACATTCTGACTCGCATTCAGCGACCACTCGCTCGACGCGACCAGCGACCGGCTTACAACTGGTACCGATCGCCAGTTCGCCAGTTCAACGACCACTTCACGACTTCAGTACTCGATCTGAAAATCGTTTTCCGAAGTTTTGCGACCACGCCGTTTTTTCTGTTGTACGGTGCATGTACAAAGTACAAAGGTCAAATCGCAGGCTAACAGTAGGCCTAAACATCTGTGCGTGACACGTGCATGCATACACATACATGTACTTGTACACTACAAGTACATGTAGTACAGTGCACTAGTGATGTACATGTATCAGTACTTCAGTATATCACTCCCCCTTATGCACTTCACCAATGCACAGCATGCAGTGCGAGGATTCATTTGATACCAGTTATCACCGTAGGGAGATCACCTGCTTTGAAAGACCACCTGTTTATGAGACCACTTTGGGCTGGAACCATGCGTGGTCACGGAAACCAGGTTTCACCTGTATGTCACGCATGGGCTGTGCAGTGTGCACTGGGGAAATCCCCCGCATTCAAACGCGTCGGAAACTTTAGCATGAAGTGTTTCACAGTCACACGCTTGAAAATTGACCCTCGCCCGTTTCCCGGACTTCGAGCGTCAGCGCTTGTGTATTTTACTTCGTGCTATATCGAATGGTATAGCACGTTGGAAAGCTGCGTTCAATACCTTTCCAATGAGCCGTCATATGTTCAGTTGAATTTGAAGAAGGGAGACCGAAGATATAGCTGTGTGTACAGTGGTCTATGCTCGTTTCCATATGCTCCGTGTGCGTAACGAGTTATCTCGTCCTTGGCACTGAAAGGGCTAAACGCTGTGAATATACCATTGTAGCCATGCATTACGTATGGGCATCGTCAGTGGGCTTGTCCTGGTTGCTGCACTCAATGTGCATGCAGGCCAGAGTATCTTTCCGTGGCAAGTCCCACACTGACAGCACATCAGCTCTCTCATCTAGTCTTGACTGGATGCAGTGCAGGATGAGCCCGCATAGCAAATACTGAGAGATGCGGAATGCACGCATGCTGAAGATACAGGCCAGATTGTGCTATTGGGCTCTCAGACATGCCAGTCACCCAGTGCATCTAGCTATTATAGCTGTGTAGAGCTTTTTCAAGGATGCGGCGCCGTGCCCACCAGGGGCGCTCACCCCAATATTGTGGTGAACGGGTCGCGCAGTGAAAGGGACACAAAATGTGACAGGTCCGTCTCCAACAGCGCTTGGAGCGATTCTGAAGCTTGTTCTTTTTCGCCCAAGCCATGGAAGGGCTTCCTAGCAGCTGCTCTAAGTCAACACGAGTGTCGAACATGAAGTTGAGCGCCATCCTAGTGCTTCTTTCACCTCCATGCCTCCATTCCCATATGAACTGAATGCGACCTGGGCTTTGCCTGTTCACCAGCGATACAACAATTTCTCGCACGTGATCCCAAAAAGCGACCGTTGGTCCGTCCTTGAAAAAGCTCTTTAGACCATAATATCCCATAATTGTAGCTATGCTAGATTGTGTGGTTGCCATGGTTGTATTCAAGTGGTGTGCAGTGCAAAGATGTTGTCCAGGAGAAGGTTGTGTTGGCTGTAGTAATGTTATAATTATGTGTTAGGACTTTAGCATTGCTCCCTGTCTCATAATCTACTCTGTCAGGCTGGTACATGTGATAGTGAGAGTTCATCATTCCATTGCACTGTGTGTGGGTGGGTGTGTGTGGGTGTGGGTGTGTGTGCACGTGTGTGGGTGGGTGGGTGTGTGGGTGGGTTGGTATTTGTCTGCTGGGTTGCATGTCAATGTTGCAGAAAATCATGCTGGACGACAAGCAAAGCTACTACTTTGGACGAAATCGTGACGCTTGCCAGGTGGTGGTTGAGCACTCGTCGTGTTCTCGTGTTCATTGTGTGCTGCTGTATCACAAGCACTTGAACAGGTCATTTCTTATCGACCTTGGCAGCAGTAAGTTTTTCAGATGATTGCCTGTGTGTACTGTGGTACAGTGTCTCCATGTGCGTAGAATGTGCATGTCCACCAGGGAGTCGTAGTAGGGGGGACACCACAGGATCATGGTACCGGAAACGTTGTGCCTTTCAATCTCGCAGTTGGAAGTTCAGCATGAACCGTGGTCTGTACAACTTGCGATCGCCATTGCAGCCTTGACCTACTGATCCCAAACGCGACACAGTCCAGCGATGTCATATGCGGGTACATAGATCGGCCCTGCATAGATAGATCCAATTCCGTCAATTCTGAAGAGACTGCGGAATTGCTAATTCTCCCACCAGAATTGGCGCGCTCGACGTACACGCCATGCTAGGTCCACGTGTGCGCGCGATGGTGTACGGGGTCCCACGTGATCCCCTTTTACGATTTTACGTGTGGTCGTTCGTTTATTTGCCGCAATCCGTTCCTTCTGTTCATTCGAGAATTATAAAACCTGGACCCAATATGTGTAATCGAAAGCACCCAATGTAGCCTTGACTTTATTTTGACTGTTGTGTTTCTTATAATACGAATACACTGTATGTTCCTACAGCGCATGGCACATTTCTTGGCAAAATTCGGCTGGATGACAAGAAGCCAACGCCGGTGCAAATCGGCAGTACGTTCCGACTGGGTGCATCCACGCGCAGCTTTGTCATCCGTGAGAAGCCCAAGCAGGCTGCTGCGGTCAGCGCTGATGGGGAGACAGAGGAAGCGGCTGAGGGCAGCTTCCTGGGCATTAGTGAAAATGTGGACTATGACGTAAGAACTGTGTAATGTGTGCTTGGACATTGTTGGCTTAGGCCTCTCAACATGGGGAATATTGCTCGTTATGAGCTGACATTGCCTGGCCCTCATCTCCACACACGCATTATAATTACTTGGTCCGCGTCAGCGATATTGTCGCTTATCTTTCAGCTTTGTTTATATGTCGCCAATGCTCACTTGGCAGCCCATTTCATCCCAATTTTGGTTAGTAAGTTAGTTTACTAGTACCTGAAAGGTCTAGCTAGATTTCGAGTGGATTTCGAGAGCGACGTGTGGGTGATTCTGATTGATACAGCGCCGCATCAAAATAGATTATCTTAATACACTGAGTAGGCAAGAGCAGCGCAACCCACAAGAAAGTAATCGGCTACTCGGAATCAGCTCCATTTTGCTAAATAGCCGAGATCGCTCACCTCAGGGATCGCTCGTGAAGCTGAGATCGCAGTTCCCTCACCTCCAGCTCAACGCTCGGAGTATCCAGCGCATCATGGAGATGTGCAAGTACTGCACGCGTCGTCGTCGTCGTTCAAAATAAAATCTTGCAAAATACGGCGTCTGATTTGAACCACACAGGCTTTTGTGCTGCCCACGCGAAGTTCTGTAGAGAAGGCGACCGTCACGATCGACTTCTCTTTAGACAATAGCCAGGCAGCGGAGACGAAGAGAGATGAGCTTGCAAAAGCAAGAGTCGATCCCGAGCAAAAATGTTTGTCACCAGCGCCGAGAGCAGCGACGAGGAGGACCGAAAAAAGTATGAACCCTTCCTTGGACAATAAATTCCTCATAGCTAGTTGTCATTCTATACATTATCTTCCATCGTACCAAGTTTTATCACTTCAAGTGCATGCGTTGATGTCCAAAGTCTCAGTTCAAATTGTCGAAAGATAAGCGACAATATTGCTGACCCGGACCAAGTATGAGAAAGGATTATTTTCGCTCGCTAAATAATATTACTTTTGATGTACTGGATTTTGAATTTTTGATTGCGTCAGATCACTAACCATTTCACTGCGGGGTCAGTGGTGAAGGGGAAAGACCATCAGACTCTTCTACGGCACGTACACGCACGCACACCGCACAATCTCAGGACCTGGTGTTTCTTGTACTGGTTCTAGGAAGTAGTGAAACTCACTGACCTAGATTATTATTGAAGACTATTCTAAATACACTGTGAGGTATACCAGTTGCGCAGCAAAAGCCCGCACTCGCACTTGCTATCGAAGGCTAGTAATTAAGGTATTAGAGTAGTCCAACCAGCTGAACACAGCAGCACGAGAAATTACATGACTAGGTAAACACTAGGATCTGACCCGTATGATCAACAATGTTGTTAACAATGATGAGAGTGTGCTCTTAACGTAATTGAGCGGCCCAGATGTTCCAATCAATTATTTCTAACATGCTATCCTTGCAACCCAATCTACTATCTAACATGAACAATGTAATACTTGTACCACAAAGCAATACCGTGCACTAGACTCTAAATACATGACACCACAGTCATCAGTATTAGACCAATGCATGCAAGCAAGATCAGCAGTTATCCTTCATCGGTAATGCCCAGAATGAGAGCACGTGTGCAACTGTACCCGACTACTAGTATTGTGTATGTCCGTAATCCCGTATTCATTCTCTGTGTACTGGCCATTTGTACATGTGCATGCTGTACTGGCCATACGGCCCGGCTACTGACTGACCATGTACATCATTGCCGGGCATGGTGCATGGGTGAACTTGTGAGAAAACATCCTAAGTTAGTCTTGAAATTCATCGCGAGGGCATGAGACAGACCGCGGAGTCATGAGTGTCACCGTCAAATCGAAGAGTGGCTGCGCAGGTGGGGGTGCCTCTGGTGCATCACCAGAGCTGCTGCTACTGTACAGTCCTGCCTCACGTACCCAACGCTCGGTGGAAGCTTGTGTCGTTCAGATCATCTCATGAATGAGAGTGCACTGTGTACGTGTTACAATGGGGACAATTCAATTCGTATAACAAGTTAGGTTCATGTAATCGCTTTTTGGGGAACTAAAAAGTGATTGTTTCTGGCTTTACCCATGCGTGTGCATCCACGTGTTTGCAGGAGATTACCGAGTTCAATACAGCCCATAACCGACGCATTCCCACAGTGATAGATATGGCGGCTGCGCGGCCCAAACGCAAGCGCAGCCTATCATTGCGCTTTGCTGAGGAGGACACCATCATCAATCCAGGTATGCTTATGTTTACCGTCATCACTTTGTTGTAGAGCTCGGATATGAGACTATTTTCATGTGTTGTGGTGTATTGTCTGTAAGAGCTCCAGAGTCTCTCGTACAGGGACACGAGATAGATTGTGTGTTACCAAATGTGAGAGAGATCAGAAGAGGTTACTGGCCCTCACAGGAATTGCATAAGGGACCCATGGTACTGACCAGGAAAAGTCATGACTCGTGCTCTTTTCTTCTTGTTGCTCTCTCCCTGTTTTCTACAGAGGACATTGACCCAAGTGTGGGGAGGTTTCGCAATCTTGTGCAGCAGACAGTTATCATAGGCCCTAACAAGGTTGGCATTCTCTCTCACTCTTTCTCTCTCTCTCTCCTCTCTCTCTCTCTCTCTCCTCTCTCTCTCTCCTCTCTCTCCTCTCTCTCCCTCTCTCTCTCTCTCTCTCTCTCTCTCTCTCTCTCTCTCTCTCTCTCTCTCTCTCTCTCTCTCTCTCTCTCTCTCTCTTCCCCTTCTTTCCAGGGCTGTCGGACCTGATGCAGCCGGTTGGCCGCACCAATAATTTCATCTGCCCAGTGCTCTCCCTCTCCTGTCTTTCTCTCCCCCCCCCCCTCCCCTCTCTCTCTCTCATTTTAAAAGTGGCTTTCCTAATATTGGTTTTTGTGTTTTTCTTTGTTTTGGTTACAGAAGGTGAAGACAGAAGGCCAGACGTCTGCAGGTCGACTTCCATCACCCACTGGAGGTGCAGTTCGACGGAGTTCGTCCGCGTCTGACCCTGGTGCTGATGGCGGCAAGGATTCGGCCTCCCTCTACTCGGACATACCGGGTGCCATTACCGGTGGCCTGCGTAGCTTGCCAAACAGTGCACCGGCTGTCAGTATGCAGCCGGTGAATGCTGTCAAGGAGAAACCAGCCCCGGCGCCCCCTGTATTCGCTGCTGTCTCCGAACCGGAGTCTAAGAGAAAGAAGTATGCCAAGGAAGCGTGGCCGGGCCGTGCCCCAACGGAACGCCCCGCTGTCTCCAACAATTTCCTGATGTCTTAGTCGGGATGGGATGTTGGCGGTTGCCACGCTGTTGTGATGAGGTGATGAAGTGATGCTGCTTGACAAACTGTACATGATGTAGAAAATGTAATGCTATTTTGCTTGTATATACTGCTTGGTGTTAACATTTTATCCGTTGTTACTGCCCTGTCTTTTCTCCCCGGTTTGTTGTGTTGTGGCTGGTTGACTTGTCTGAAGCTTTTTGCCTTTACATAGCCTGTAGTTTGCTTGCCATTTGTCTTTAGACATGTAGATAACGTTGTAGTAGTGAAGGCTGTGCGGGGGATTCCCCTCCCATATTCATTAAAATACTATGCTTGATTTTGGACTGTTCCCGTATCATTTTTGCCGCTTCAAATTCTACATATGTATAGCTGTGTTTCTTTGTGCTATATGTTTTGGTTTACCAGACTGTGTATCTAATGGCCTGGGATTCAGAAACATGCATCTGTAACATTTGTATGCGTCCACTACGGTCTGCTTGCAATGTTGTTGCGCTTCCCGGCTCTGGTGGTGGGTGAGTCCATATGAAGGGAGTTGTCTGTCCGGCATTCGACACCTCTCCAGGTGCAGCCCTTTGTTGGGATTGTGATGTTGACTACAATCAGAGTAGATGGCTGTCAAAGTGCCTACACACAGAAAGTTGCATTTGCATGTTGTGCAAATGCTGAGTGCATGCAATGTTATGCACTCTTGCTACTACAGTCACGGGTAACACCTTCAAAATCCCACCTAACCTGACTTATGCAGACACACAATTGGATTCCACATGAAGATGGCATCGTATGAGAACTACAATAATGTACAGTGTTCTGTCCCCGAGGAAAATCGCAAAAAACGCGGGGTTAAACGCGGCATAATGTGGCATAATTTGCGGTAAATATGCGGTGAATAATATTGATGTGCGGCAATTTTCAGTGAGTACCGGTATGTAGTGAAATCAATCAATTACAAGTCTCTGGTGTAAGCACTCGTCATATTTGAGTAAAAAGCCGCCACGATGAGACGTTGCTGACCGAACAGTGCACTGTGTGTACGTGTAGTGCAACAAAAAAGTTCAAAAAACGCGGGAAAACCGCGGAAAACGCGGTCTTTTAAAAAATCCCAAAAAACGCGGCCACGGAATCGCAATTTTCCCCGGGGACAGAGTGTTACCGGTATATCCGGAGTCAAAACCCCAGCTCATGCCTAAACTTTCCAAGTGCTGCGACAAGTCTTTTGCTGAGGACAGGATGAGTACACATCGATATGAGACACTATTTGGCAGCATCTGACTGTTCGGATAAGCAGGAAGAGGTCAATATTGCCACACAAACTTCAAAACCTGAGAGCTAGCAGCCACTGCTGGGAACAGGTCTGTCTGCCCTCCACACCACATTGTACCTCCAAGCGAGGATATACAGACACACACACACGCGCGCGCGGAAACATAAGAGTTTTGGCACTTAATAGATTCAACTATACAGTTCTTAACTCGACCAAGTACAGTAGAGGATCAGCTGAGAGGAAAAGGGAAATGCTAGTGTTTCGGGAAGGACAGGTATAGACGTAGACAAGATTCTGAACACAAAAAAAACAGCTACAAATATTGTACAATAATATACAAGAGGGGAACAGCGATAGATAAATCAAGAAAGGGCACAGAGAGAAAGAAGGAAGAGAGAAAGAGAGAGAGAGAGAGAGAGAGAGAGAGAGAGAGAGAGAGAGAGACAGAGAGAGAGAGAGAGAGAGAGAGAGAGAGAGAGCGAGCGAGAGAGACAGAGAGAGAGAGACAGAGAGAGAGAGCACAATTACATAGACAGATAATGAAAATAAAACCTATTGACAAAGGGACAACACATGCTAATAACTAAATGAATATAGGCGCAAAAAAAGAACGTGAGGAATAGCGTTACAATGGGATCAGATGAAGCAATCTTGCAAAAAAAGCTGAACTGAATAAATGAAAGCAAAAGGCTGGGTTAAGTCTAGGCACCTGGCAGGCTCAGTAACTGTGTTATGGAGTGCTGGTGGTGTATATGATATGAAGAAAAGTACTATAGATATATAAGGCCATGAAGGTGGCGATCACAAGAAACAATGGCATCTGTATCTTCTCATGATCATGGTCAAAACCATACTCCACTGCAACCAGCTGAGTGGCTCATATTTCGTATGCGCGCAGAAAATATAGAGTATAGTTGTATGCTTTGGTGAGAACTTGGCTCTGCGCCAGGCTTTTGTGTAAAAATATATATTTTGCGTGTGATGCCTTCAGGCTAACTAGTAAGCATACATCAAGCGGCATCATCAACTCTATTTGGATATGTATTTGGAGAACGCTTTGCGAAGTGACGAGTACTGACCTCGTCTGAACGATCCGGGTTTGTGGGCAAAGATCTGTGTGGTGGACTCGGACCGCGAGGTCCCAATGCCGGTGTTGCTGCCATCAGGAGGCTCAAGCTCACGCGAAAGTTGTAGCAGTGTTTTTTCATCCTTGTCGAGATTATCAAACACCTTGACATAGAAGGTAATGGCCTGGTCGGCCATGAGGTACTGGTGGGCTTTCTTCATGGCGTTCATCTCAAACTGCTCTGTTACCAGGTGCGAACCAAGTGTGGGAAGACCCGTCAGCATGTCATTGCCTGTGTAGGAGCGGGACGTGCACTCCACGACTTTGCGCACCTCGCTGGCAATCATTCGCAGCTTGTCGATGTTGATCAGTCCATCCACCTTTGTCTTGTTGCCCAGGTGCAAGAAGGTGAGGTCCTTCTTGATGATGGGAAAGAAAGGAATGAACGGAGGCTTTATGGACTCACTGGACAGTAGCTCACGGTAGTTGGCCATATTGCGGGATGGATCTAATAACTGCTGCATCTCATCGAGATTGGTGATGAACTTCTTGGGAACTCTCTCCCACGTCCTCTTGAGTCGAGATACAGCTGTATATGACAGGCCACTGATAATCGCCAGCATGGAGTTAAAATTGCGCACCCGACGGAACATAACAGCCAACTCAATGAAGGTGCGAATCACATGTGCACGCCTTGCGACATCGGGCTCCAGGCACACTTCATGAACGACCCACATCATCTGTGCATTCACAAGGTCAGAAGCATCCTGCATGCGCCTTTCGCTCGCGAGTGATGACTGCATCTCAAACGTGTCGAAAATGTAGTCTGACGGTGTGATTTTCTTGAAGAGGCAGAAATCGGACATGGTAATGTGCCGCACCAGCTCTTTCAGGTCGATCGTGTGCAGTGATATCTCAGCATTGCGAATCATCTCCTGCGTCGTGTCCTCGGAAGTCACATGACCAGATATGCTGATATCCTTCAGGTAGATGCGGCTGGACGTTTTCTGGTAGCTTGACATCTTGGTCATGTGTGACTGGATGTTGCGTTGCTTGACGATGTCTGGCGGTGCAACGCTGACATTGACGAGAGTGAATTGCTCCGACGGCCGGTCAATAACAAACGCCTTGACAGCCATGGCCAATACCTGTGCACATGAGTAATCATCCAGAATGGGTATGATTCGATAATGGCCTTCAGAATTGAAGATTTTGAGGGGCACTTTATCTCCACACATACGACTCTGCGTCCGCCGCCGAAAGCGTGCACTTCTCCGACTTGACGACGTCGATGGCGAGCGGAAAAACGAGCCGGATTCCTGACCAGCTACTGCCAAACCATGGCCGGGAGACGGTTGCGGTGTAAGGGATGAATGTGTTGTGGGCAGCTGAGCGTTGGGAGTGTTTATCGTTGTAGGTGCAGCAGAAGACACGGTAAGTGCTTCTTCAGGCCCTGTTGTAATTGGCACATGTGCACAAGCAGGCACCTCCTCCTCAAGCAAGTCACCGCCACTCTCACGCGAACAAGTCGAAGTGACAGACTGGGATTTCGTCAGGGAAAATATGCTAAGCGAATCCATCTCATCGTTGAGCAGGCGCTTTGATACTGCCTGCAGGAACCGTGTGTTCGGCGTGGCAGGGCAGGAGTCTAATGACTGTATGATATACTCAAGTCCTTGACGCAATCCAGGGCGCTCTTTGAAGTCATCACTCTGCGTTCGCAACCAGATCGAAAGGATACTGGCTACGCGATCAACATGTTCCGGAATGCTGTTTGTCAGGAATTCTATCAGATCCTCCGACTCTTTCATAAATACTGGTAATGTCATGAGGAAATCCTCAATAAACTGTGGGCCACCCTCATCACCAAGCAGATACTCCTGCAGCTTATGTGGTGCTGCTCGCACAACAACCTGCTGGAATTTCCCTTGGCCAACAGCACGATATGTGGTCATTGCCACCAGATCTCCATTTACATCCTCTACACGACGTACGCTCTCGGTGTTCGGATGGGCTATTCGCAGAACCTCATCACGATTCAACCAGAGCAGACTACTGGAAGTCTTAGCTTTGAAAGTTGAAGGGGATATCATACGATCCTCAGTGGCTGAGCATTCCATCAGAGGCACGCCAAAGGAGTCACCAGCGGAGTGTGCCGTGTTCTTCTCGCCGGAAGTCGACTCGTCCGTGGACCCATCGGCTGATGCTGGGCCATCCTCTACGACAGATCCCTGCATGATATAGAAGAAGTCCAATTCCGTGCCTTTCTCAATAATAACTTCATCGGTCTTGACCTCCTTGGCATGCAATGAAGCACATAGCTGCCTGCGAACTGTCGGTGGCAAGGGTAAGAAGACTGGGGCATACTCCAAAGACTTCATGATCGTGTCTATATCTTCCTCAGTCCTCTTTTCAGGCGGATGGGTTATGGCAACCATCACAGGCAGCTGCCGAGTGGCCCGCTTGGGTCCTGAGTCCGAGTCAACGGACTCAGACTCCTCCATGGCGGATTTTTTCCTCGCTTCACTCAACTAGAAGTCTACATTCCGTGGCCATGAAGGAAATGACTCCTTGCCATGCCATGCCAGGCCAGGAAATGAAGGTAAATTACGCTCTTCTGCCTGATCTTGAACCAATCTTCTCTTGCCGGTCTTGAGGCTCAACAGTTGAGCCTTGTAGCTCCCAGGCCGAGTCGCTTGATCTATCTGGCATATGACCGTTGACGTCTCGACGTCATCACCATTCATACAGCAGTCATGTTGCCATAGTTATGGCAACCAAAAGTAACAGCTCAGGCGGACACATCGTACCGCGTACCGACCCATCGATCGACCGCAACCATGCAAATGTGTCCGCGTGCGTATCCACCGTAGATTACGATCACGATACGGTACGGTTGTATTGACCCACAGAATTTTTTTATGTAGTACGAGACTCGTATGGTGGTGGTTGTTGATCCCTGCCAGGGATCTTGGGAATGATACCCAAACCAGCCTCGTACTCGCTCTTTACTTCTTTACATAGGTTTGCGGTGTCACCAGGTCACCGACACAGGCCCATTAAAAGGCCATTGACCTTCACAGGAGCCCGAACTGGTCCAATTGGGAGCTAATTCAGCCAGTTCGGGCTCCTGTGAGTCAGGAAGCTTCGAAGGGTCACGAAAGAGCTATTTACAGTGTTTTAGTATTTTTCTACGTGTGGTCGGAGCGGTAGTTGTGCAGTATTCGCACTTTCGCATACAACTCGAATACTTCAGCTAGTACTTTCAACAGAGAGTTTACCAGCACCAAGACTACACCTCTCCTCTGGGTACAAGTATTCAGTATTCACCAAGTCGAGTTCATGGACTCTTGGTATAGCTCATAGTACCGGTGCACACAAGTAAAATGTACTCACAACAAGAGTTCACCGGTATGCGGTATGCACATGTACTGCACTGCTGCTGCATCCTTGCGGCCAATACACTCTTGCCGTCTTGGACCCCTCCACCTACAGATGGTTTCCTTCGTATTCCCAATTATTTGATTTACCAATACCGATATTTATTTATTTATTTATTACAGCATCTCATAGCACAGTGAGAACACCGGCCAATACAAAGAGAGAGGGTGTTAGCCAACCACGGCAAGGAAGGGAGAAGGGGAGGAGAAGAAAAGAGGAACCGGCATGGATAAGCAGTGATTGCAACAAAATGAGAAACACAAAAGCAAAGTCAAGGTGCGACAAGGCTCTTAAAAAGGCGGAGGGAAGAAATGTCCTTAGCTTCTTGGGGAAGTGCCAGCCACGCAGAGTACGCAGTGAAAAAGGGAGAGTGAAGTAGAAAGGAGGACTTAGGTTTCGGAAGGGAAAGGGAGTTTCTCGTGCTACGGGAAGAGAACCAGTTGAAACAGTGGAGGTGAGGTGGACACAGATTGAGTTTGAGAGAATGGATAAGGGTGACAAGATGTGAATTACGTCTCTTAGACAAAGGGGTAGTGTCAGCAAGGGCATAAAGGGTGGAAGATGGGAGCATGCGGGGTTTTCGGAGGAGGATTTTGAGAACTTTTTTTGTGGTGAATTTCGAGCTTGGCAGCACGGGTTGTGGAAATTCCAGCCCAAGCAGTATCTGCATAATCAAAAATGGGGCGTAGGTAAGCTGAGTAAAAGAGGAGTTTACACGAGATTGGGAGATGGTAACAGTGAGAAGAGAGGATTCCTAAAGATGAACTTGATCGTTTACATATGTAATCGATGTGGGGTTCCCATGAAAGGTTAGAGTCAATGAAAATGCCAAGATGCTTATGGCTGGAGACTATGTCTATAGGCTGGGGGAAAGTGGGATGGAGGAGGGGCGGAACATCGGGCTGAGAAGGAAAGAGCATGATTTTAGTTTTAGACAGATACATGTAAGATCTACTCTTTTTGGAGCTATGCTGGGCCCCTGCCAACTAACATTTTGCTTGGGAAGTGTCCTCTTCCCTTGCTCTTCCGACAGCCAGTCGCTATGGTTTATTTTCTGTCACTTTCCTTGGCTCTGACCGCTGGAATGCCCTCCCAGCCGAGGTCCGCTCAAGTTCTTCCCTGCATACCTTCCGCAATTCTGTTCTTCATTAACTTAGGCCAAGTTAGAGTACCCTGTCAAAAGGCCTTAGGCCTGTGGGGATTGCCCTATCAATTTAAAAAAAATAATAATAAGTTAGTTCCCACATCGCAAGCAAACGACAGTAGATTATCGTCTAGCTACGCACATCTCATTCAGGGACAACAACAGGTTTGGATGGCGCACCCGGCCGCCTTCCGAATGTAGAATAGTAGTAGTAGTAGTAGAATTTAATATGTTGATACTGATAGGGAAGGGCAAGGCCCGACAGACGTTGCCGTCTTGTTACAGGGAACCCTAGGTGCAATGTCACTGGTAATGAACACCACAACCACAAGCTATAAATCTCAGGAATTCACAACTACATGTACATGTATGGCCAATAGTTGAACGACTGATCCGCGCTGGCGAAACCCAAGCTGAGGGTTTTGGAGGTACCCGCGGCGTTCAGTCGTGTACCGGACTACTGGTACATGTACAGTCATGTATCTTTCCAACGATGTCAGGGATCCCGGGAGACTGGTTGATAGCTGGCTGGTTGCCTGTTGACTGAGTCACAGTGAGTGTTGTCAGTCATAGCAAGAGTACGTCATAACGGTTATGTACTCTTGCTCATAGTCAGTGTGTGCCGTTACCATGGTTACTGGCGTTAGTGGCTTCAACCCCCCCCCCCCGAATTACCGCCCCGTGTCTTTGTTGCCCGTTATGTCGAAGGTAATGGAGGCTATTGTCAACCAGCATAACACCAACTTTGTTGAGAAGCACCACGTCCTCTCGTCTAGGTAGTTCGGGTTTCGCAAGGGTCTCGATACTGCCGACATCCTCACTAAGCTCCACACCGAATGGTCGAAGACAGCCGGCCTTGGAGGAGCTGTCCGTGTACTTGCCACCGACATCGCCGGTGCCGTTGACAAAGTCAGCCACCCTAGACCGGGCCTAGTCTGCTGCACACGGCTTCAGTTTCTGGACTACATGTGACATGGTCACCTCCATGGCTGGCTGTCCAGCTACCTTCGCGACATTCGCCTCCAGGCGGTGGTAAGTGGCCAGCAGTCTTCAGCACAACCTGTGCAGTCTGGTGCCCCGCAGGGTAGCATTCTCGGTCTCACATTGTCATTGTTTCTCCTCTACGTGAACGATTGTGAGGACCATTACATCTCCCTGCGGGCTCCGAACTTGCCACCTATGCGGATGATACGACCCTCTACCAGTGCCTGTCTGCCACATCCGACATCGCCGACTCCACAGTGCAGCTCCAAGCCGCTATGGACAGCGTCGCTGAGTGGGGTGCAGACTGGAGAGTGACATTTGAGCCATCCAAGTCTCAGGCGACGACGATTGACCACCGTAGGCCACTCCCACCCAGCTGTCCTTCTTAATCTACCTCCACTCCATTGCAACCAAGGCTGCCCAGCGGCTCCACTTCCTTGCCAATGTTGCCCCCTCCTAGACGCCAGAGGTCGCACAACTGTGTACAAGGGGTTTGTCCGTCCTCTGATGGAGTACTGCTCCTTGGTGTGAATGGGCTCCAGTACCTCCCGCTTGGACAAGATGCAGCACAGGGCGCTAAAAATCATCGGCCCGGGAGTTTGGCTTCCCAGCCCGCAGCACCGCAGAATGGTTACATCCCTGTCGCTCCTCTTCAAGCCATCATATCTTCCCCCGACGAATCCGCTTAACATGCTACCAGCCCCAGCCGACCCACGCCCTCCGTGCAGACCATCGACCAGGCTGGCTACTAAGACCGCTCAGCAACATCCGAATCAGCTTAAATCAACACTCCCGGCACGAACACGAAGCAGCCTCCGCAATGGGTTCCCCGATTGCGCCATCCCAACGTGGAACAGCCAGCCAGGACACGTCTTACGATCCGCACCGGACCCACAGCAGCTGCAGTCCTTCAAGGAAAGGTGCCATATGTACATGTACCTGCTGCGCCTTGACTGGCAGAGAGCAGCTGACGCTCTTTGATTTTCCTAGTGTCCGGAATTTGCTATAACCAACTCGTTCGCACAGCGGATCTTGTCCATACGAAATTGTCATGCCATCTTACCCTTCTGCAGTGGATGCGTGGGCGCCAATAGTGGGCGCAGCACTTCCGTATACATGTCTTGCTCTCGTCTTGTTTTTCCCTCTCTCTTATGTCCTTTTCTAATTGTCCGCAAATTCCAACGCAGCCACTTTTGTATTTGTATTTGTATTTATATCATTATCTCATGGCACATCATGATGACGGCCAATAAAACTGAGACAAGGGTGAAAGCCAACCACAGCAGTAAAACAGATAAAAGAATACAAATAAGAGGCAAAGAAGGCAAAGGAGGAGACAAACCAGCAGGATATACATGAAACCTATAATTGAGCAGAGATTTTAGCAACAAAATTATCCATCGACGTGCTGGTCTTGGCCTGCGTTGGTAATGTTGCCCAAAACACATAGCCAGCAAAGATCGGGGATCTAGTGAATAGGGTGGAGGCAGCGCGTGGGAGACTGAGTGAGTTCCGAGTATTCCGTGTTTCGGAGAACCAATTATAAGCCTGCATATGCAAGGGTATTTTATTTAGTAATATTTTATGTATGAGAACACAGAGGTGGTACTTATGTCGAGTGGAAAGGGGACTGATCTTGGCAATTTCGTAAAGACTAGCGGAGGGAAAGCGACGATCTTTTCTAAATAAGATTTTAAGGAGCATGCGGTTATGGGTTTCTAGCTTGTTCAATACAGTAGTAGTTATGCCAGACCAAGCAGTATCACAGTAGTCAAGTAAGGGCAATATATAGCAACGATAAAACAAGCGTTTGCAAGAAAGAGGAAGATGTCTACAGTGGGCTTGAAGAGCCCCAAGGATGGAGCTTGTGCGCTTGCAGACATACTGCACATGGGGTGACCACGACAATTTAGAGTCAATAATAACGCCAAGATGCTTATGCTCTTCAACAATACGAATAGCAACACTTGAAGAAGGAAAACAAAGTGGCAGGGAAGGGGGAGAAGGGGAAATGTACATAGCTGCCGTTTTATCAACGTTTGGCTGCAACTTCCAATCATGCATCCAGGTTATAACTTTCCCAATGCTATCTTGCA